TAATCATACTTTTTGAAAGATCAGAAAATTAGGATAGTGGTGTTAAACACCTTAATTATAAAATTGCCTTAAGTTTAGGATGTTTAAAAATGGTTGCATCATTAATTGAATTCCAGTGGCTTATGAGAAGAAAACATCTTGTTTGGAGCATGAGATTAAGTCTGTTTGATTCACTGTTAAAGTTCTGTTCTACCCCATAATCTTCATTATGTAGTGAAGAGATGGTTTTTGGTTGTTTTATGTAAACAAACAAACAAACAAACAAACAAACACACAAAAAAAAACTAGACAAACTTAAAAGAAAAAAATGAATTGTCACTTTATGATTTTTTAATTACATTTATTTTGTCAACAGGAAATACACTCACATGGTACAAAATATTAAAGTTACAAAAGGGTATACAGTAAAAAGTTTCTTTCTTGTGCTATCCCACATGTATCAAGTTTCCTTCTCAGGGCAACCATATTATCAAGTGTATTTTTTATCCTTTTAGTGTTATTCTACCTTTTATCTATTTTCTTTCTTTCCCCTAACACAAATATTAAAATACTATGCCCAATGATCTACAACTTGCATTTATCATTTATCTATGAATTCATCCCATATCTGTACATCTAGATTTGCCTCTTTATGGAGCTATATAGTATTCTGTTGTAGGGATGTAACATAATTTATTTATCCAGTCCCATATTGAGAAACACCTATGTTGTTTCCAAAGTTTTGATTTTACAAACAATGCTGCAGTGAACAGTCTTGCAGACATCTCATTTTGCACATGTAGAATGTATATGTAGGAAAATTACTAGAAGTTAAATTGCTGGGTTGAAGGATGTATGCAAGTGAAATTTTTCATAGATGTGCCTAAATCATTGTGATTTTGAAACAAAATAGTCAATGGTTGTGCAAGTGTTTATTAAAAATGATGAGAGTACTTATTTTCTCATCTGATTTGCTCTCTTAATTTACCTTCTCTTTCTTTCAAAGCAAATAATCAAATTCACAAATTACACTTCAGTGGTTAAGAGTCCTAGAAAGGGTTCTATGATGATTTCTGTGGCAATTTGAAGAAAACCGTGAATGATATGTGTACACCAGTGACTTTTTTTCTAAAATACAATTGAAGGAAACCCATTTGGAATCATGTATGAAAAGTGATAAACCCATATTGTATATCAATAACATTTTATTAGCCATTATTTAATATCAAATGAGGTCTCTTTTTTATGATTCACAAAAAGAGTTATTGTATATTTTTAAAATGCTGTGATTATAATTTTGTTATTAAGATGTTTTTCTATTTGTGGACTTTGTCATTTAAAGCTGTTTAGTGTTAAGAAATTTTGTCACCAAGAACTAGTTTAAAAATAAGGGGAGTAGAAGAAAGTGGGAGGCCTCACACTACCTGATTTTAGAACCTATTATACCACCACAGTAGTCAAAACAGGCTGGTACTGGTACAACAACAGATCCATAGACCAATGGAACAGAATTGAGAATCCAGATGTAAATTCATCCACCTATGAGCAGCTGATATTTGACAAAGGTCCAAAGGCCGTTAAATGGGGAAAAGACAGTCTCTTTAACAAATGGTGTTGGCATAACTGGATATCTACCTGCAAAAAACTGAAATAAGACCCATACTTCACACCATGCACAAAAACAAACTCAAAATAGATCAAAGACCTAAATATAAAATCGAAAACGATAAACATTATGGAAGAAAAAATGGGGACAATGCTAGGAGCCCTAATACATGGCATAAACAGAGTACAAACCATAAGTAACAATGCACGAACACCAGGAGAGACACTAGATAACTGGGAGCTCCTAAAAATCAAACACTTATTCTCTTCTTATCAAAAGACTTAACCAAAAGAGCAAAAGACAACCTACAGACTGGGAAAGAAATTTTGGCTACAACAAATCCGATCAGTGTCTAATCTCTAAAATCTACAACATACTGCAAAATCTCAACAACAAAAAGACAAATAACCCAATTAAAAAATGGGCAAAGGATATGAACAGGCACTTCACCAAAGAAGACATTCGGGCGGCTAACAGACACATGAGGAAGTGCTCATGATCTTTAGCCATTAGAGAAATGCAAATCAAAACTACAATGAAATACCATCTCACCCCAACAAGGCTAGCATTAATCCAAAAAACACAAAGTAATAAATGTTGGAGAGGTTGTGGAGAGACTGGAACACTTATATATTTTTGGTGGAAATGTAAAATGGTACAACCACTTTAGAAATCAATTTGGAGCTTCCTTAAAAAGCTAGAAATAGAAGTACCATATGATCCAAAAATCCCGCTCCTTGGAATATATCCTAGGGAAATAAGAGCCGTCACACAAATAGATATGTGCACACCCATGTTCACTGCAGCACTGTTCATGACAGCAAAAAGATGGAAACAACCTAGGTGCCCATCAACGGACGAGTGGCTAAACAAATTATGGTATATTCACACGATGGAATATAGAACGATCAATCTGTGAAACATAACATGTAGGAATCTGGAAGGCATTATTCTGAGGGAATTTAGTCAGTCACGAAAGGACAAATATTGTATGAGACCACTATTATAAGAACTCAAGAAAAGGTTTAAACACAGTGGAAAACATTCTTTGATGGTTACAAGGGTGGGGAGGGAGGGAGAGGGGTATTTGCTAGCTAGATAGTAGACAAGAATTATCTTAGGTGAAAGGAAGGACAACTCACACTACAGGGGAAGTCAGCACAACCGGACTAAACCAAAGCTAAGAAGTTTCCTGAATACAACCAAACACTTCGAGGGACAGAGTAGCAGGGGTGCGTGTCTGGGGACCATAGTTTCAGGGGACATCTAGGTCGATCGGCATAACAAAGTTTATTAAGAAAATGTTCTGCATCCTACTTTGGTGAGTGGTGTCTGGGGTCTTAAAAGCTAGTAAGAGGCCGTCTAAGATGCATCAATTGGTCCCAACCCACCTGGAGCAATGGAGAATGAATAATACCAAAGACACAAGAAAAATATGAGCCCAGGAGACAGAAGGGGCCACTTAAACCAGGGAATTCATCAGCCTGAGACCAGAAGAACTAGATGGTGCCCGGCTACTACCAATGACTGCCCTGACAGGGAATACAACAGAGAGTCCCTGACGGAGCAGGAGAAAAGTGGGATGCAGAACTCAAATTCTAGTAAAAAGACCAGACTTAATGGTTTTATTGAGACTGTAGGGACCCTGGAAGACGTGGCCGCAGACTCTCTGTTAGCCCAAAACTAAAACCATTCCCAAGGCCAAGTCTTCAGACAAAGATTAGACTGGACTATGCGACATAAAATGATTCTTGTGAGGAGTGTGCTTCTTAGCTCAAGTAGATACATGAGACTAAATGGGCAGCTCCTGCCAGAGGTGAGATGAGAGGCAGGGGGTCAGGAGCTGGTTGAATGGACAAGGGAAATCCCGGGTGGAAAGGAGGAATGTGCTGTCACAGTATAGGGAGAGCAACTAGGGTCACATAACAATGCATGTATAAATTTTTATATGAAAGAGTTTAAAAAAATAAACGGAATATATAAATTAGTAACCATTAGTGCTTTAGAAAGAAGTTAATGTCAACCACTTCTACAGTAAAAATTCCAATTCATGTTAAAATATTGGACTGCTTACTATTTTTCCCTATAGTCAAGTCTGTTTGATAGCAACTATATTTGTGTGCTGCCTTGTAATGGAGTGGATCGCCTTTCAAATTAACTGTATTTATCAAGTACTCCTGTAAATTTCATGTTTAAGTTATATTTAATGTATGGAATAAGAAGAAAATCAATATATCAGATATGGAAGATAGCTAAGTGAAAGAAGCAAGCAATGGCACTTGAACATTTGAAAATGACTTCAAATGTGTACAGGCTTCAGTTGCTTAAAAAGCTCCCAGGTCTGTCAAATTATCAAGGTGATTCATTCCAAAAAATGCGAATTTCTTGCTATTCCAGTAGAAAGGAGCAACCCTGTCACCTAACCACAACAGGTGCTCTTGCAAATTTCAAGAAAAACAAATAAAATGAACTAAAGCACATATGGTAGAATAAATTTGGAAATAAAAATTGAAGCTATTTTATTTTAGAGAACTGATTTGTGAATTGCAGAGGTTGTTACCAATGTAGAAACAAATTTTAGAATATGAAAGCTGGAAAGACTTTAAGAGTTCATCCAGCCAAACCTCCTCTGTAATGAGGTGGAAACAGATCTAGAATGGTTGGTTTGTGAGCTACACATCACTTCAGGTTGGAGAAATGGCTGATGTGTGTGTACGTGTGTGTTCTAAGGGGCAGTTTAGATTTTATTCAATATTGAAAGAATTGTACGTAGATCTCAAGTTAATCTTATGTCATATATATGTGTATATATATATTTAAGTATGCGGGGGTGATGAATAGTAGATATGAAGTATCTAGGAAAGAAAAGAACTTGATAACTTGGAATATAGGCATACAGGAAAGAAAACATTTATATAGGATTATTGATTAGCGGTTAAGAGTACAGTGTCTGGAGTCAGACCTCCTTGTCTGAATCTCGGCTCCACTATTGTGAGACTTTGTGCCTTGTTTTCCTCATCTGGAAAATACAGGTAATAAGAGTGTCTGCCTCAAAGGGTATAAGGATTACATGAGGTAATCTGGGTAAGGATTAGTATAGTGCTGGGTATACAGTAAACTCTCAACAAATGTAAATTGTTTTGTTAGTATGTCAAAGAAAGGATGGGCCAAAAGAGCTTTTTCAAAGTAAAGTCAAAATATGCCACTAGCACTTTGAGGTCAATTGGGACTGAACTGGACCCCCCAGCGAAAAGGTGGAGGGGATCAAATGACGTCGACCGCCTTAGCAACAGGCCCCCAAAGAAGGTGAATTTCCGTAGCCAATAAGACTCTGCGCTGTGGAAGAGGTAGCCAATGGATGACGGAAAGAGGAAGAGGTAGGACGCGCCAATTCTCCTGCCTGAGCCTCGGCCCAACAAAATGGCGGCGGCGGCGGCGTCGCTTTGTTTCCGCGGCTCCTGCGGCGGTGGCAGTGGTAGTGGCCTTTAAGCTGTTGGGAGGCTCCATCACAAGCTACAGTGACGAATAAGACTCTAGTGCATTTCTATCGTACCCAGGCGCCGGGGAGCGCAGAGCGGCACCCTACGGGTCGCAGAAGCCGACAAGGCGTTGAAGCGAAAACATGACCGCTGAGCCCATGAGGTAAAACGCAACCCCGTCTCATCAGCCCCAGCAGCGTGGGCCTAGGCACTTTCTGAGTCTGGTGTTTGGGAGGGTTTTGGCTTGGTGGGTTAGGGCTGTGTGTTGCTTAGCGGAAAGAGGCATCCTTTTCTCTTTAGGTGAGAAGGGGTTCGGGGTTTCCACGGAAGGCTCCAACCCGGGGTGGGGGTGGGGGGGGCGCGGCCTGGGGTGTTGGGCGCTTCCTCCAACCTCTCCTAACCCATGAAGCTTGGTTGGCCTCTTCTGTTTACTCTTTGGTGACTGTGGGATTGAGACCCCGAAGTCGGAGGCAGTCCTTGTTACCCTGGTCATTCTTCCTAATTTTTGGGCCTAGAGAC